CCCCTGCTTTGGTCCTCGTAAGAAGCTCTGGTGGTGTAGTGGTTAAGGCACTTGGCTGCTAACCATAAATGGTTGGTGGTTCAAACCCACTAGCTGCTCCATGGAAGAAAGATGAGCCAGTCTGCATCCTTGAAAACTCAAATAGGAGTCACTACGAGTCAGAACTGACTTGATGGCAGTAGGTTTGGTTTGGTTTTTTGGTTTGATCCTTATGGTTGAAAATCCTTAAAGAATGTGTACTGCTGAACTCTCATAAGATACTCTTGATGTTCACCAAGATTCACTGACAGGAAGGACCATGGTGTGGTCACTTCTAATTTTGCTGGCATGCAGGAGTCTACTATTTAGCTGATGAGGGCACCTCACTTTGACTTTACTATTCTGTAGCCATCATGAAGGCATGAGCTCTCATGAACTGAGGGAAAATTTATTCCTTGGTAGAAAACCACCAAGTGAGAGGGAAAACTTTGGCAAAATTTGAGTTGGTGGTTAACTTGTCTTGTACAGATAAATATGAGAACCAGATGATTTTTGATGGAAAAATGTGATTTGGAAGAAAGTAGAAGCCAGCATGCATACTTCTGAAGTTGCAAATTTGGGGGTTTGAGGTCTCAGGACATAGCCCTCTTGAATGGCGAGGGTCTACTGTATGGACAGAGAAATGCAGTGAAACCTGTGAGAACCAGAACTACACAGAACTGCCTTGTTTTTCTAGGTCTCACAAAGTTTTTGGTCATGGACAGGGTGCAGTCTTACCACCTTCCTATCAAATATTAGTGTGAAATATTTGAGTTTTTCTTCTCTGACAGGTTTCTGCCTTACACAGGTTCTGACTTTCACAGGTTTTACTGTACAACTGGATTCCTGATGACTGACAGGATATGGCAGGGTCTCAGCATTGGGATAAGAGATACAGATAGATGTAAAGGACATAGGAAAGTGGACTGTTCCAACTGCACAAGTTTAAATTGCACAGTTTAAAAAATACATTCCTGGTTTGGTTATTACTTGCTCATGGGCCCAAGAGACCAACTTCCGTAGATAAAAACAATATAGTTAACTGTTCAGATTTACTGCATTCTACTGTCATTGAGTTGCCGTGTCACTCTCAGGAGCTGCTTTACTCAATTGAAAAAGAGATCTAGTAACTTATTTAGTTAACAAGAATGATTAAGCCTAGTGAAAAGTTGCTTTGAAAATTTTACATATATTATCTTTTGTATGAGTACTACTAGGAAGATGGGTTAGTGGTTAGCTTAGCATAGAAAGGTGGAGAAAACTCAGTAGGAATAAAGTAACTATACAGTTATTCCACTGTTCTTGTTTTTCTCTTGCCACACTCACCAGCCCTCCACTCTGTAGCCAGACAACTGATGAGGAACCCTCACCCCACCCCGCACCCCCACATTTCTCCATGTACAAACACAGATACATTTCTGGCAGTTAGGTTCACAAATGACACCACTGAGCCAGCAATGCCAGGGCTAAGTGTGCAAACATGTGTTACCTGCACAGGTGCTCTGCCTCAGTCACAGGAGTGCCTATTGGGAGAGACTGGTCCTCATGCAAGACGATGACACAAACCAAAGGCCTCCTGCAAACCCCAATGGCTCTACAGAGACCCGAGACACCATGCATGATTACCTGGGGAGCCTGCCAGAGAGTCCCCTCTGCCGAAGGCGAAGGTACGAGACACAGAGACCGGCACTAAAGAGCCAGGGGCCATGGATTTGTGAAGTGCAAAGGGGAAAATAAATACAAAAGGAGAAAGACAAAGAGCAAAGTAGGTGAGATGACCTGTTCCTGGATCTTTACAACATCACATTTCTCTGTAAAAAGGAACTTTGCTTCTGAAAAACAAATCACTTTCCAGAAAAACAGGAAAATAAGCTGGGTTTGTCTGAAGGTCTTCTGAAATGATGCACCGTAATCTTAGTGGGAATCAGAGATGCCAATGACAAGAATAGCAGTGTCCTGTGGGAGTGTGTGCGAACAAGCAAATATATTGGTGGCTTGGCACTGCCCTGTCACCAGGCTTTCCCAGCTGCCCATGTGTCCTGCTCACCTGTGGGAGGGTGCCAACATGGACATTCAGAGTCCTGACAGCAAAGTGTATGTTCCTGCTAGGGGCCTCCTTGGAGCAGCTGTATCCTGCCTCAGGCTCCTAGGAGTGTCTTCTGTGGTCATGGTGCTGGTGAAGAACTATGCATTGCTAGAGGCTTGGGACAAATGAAGGGCAGCATATCCAGCAACTAGTAATGTGAATCGACTTCATTAATTAAATTCTAGTCACTTCTGGCAAATATGAATATGTCAAACTACCTCTCTTTCTGCGTGGCTATCACATGGGGCCTGGATAGGGTAGAATGTATAGAAACAGTGAAGTTCTTTCCCCATCCTGACCCTGATCAAGTTGTTTTTCTGGATGGCAATCTGTCTTCAGTTCTCTTATTTGATTGTTCCCTGAACTCCATTCAAGGAGCTAAGTGAAGCCAGCCTACAGGAGACACGCACTGAAATAGGCAGCTTCTGTAGTCTTCATTTGCTGAACTAGATGGTTTCATCTTGAAATTATGTGCAGGGGACAGGGTGGCAGGGGGAAGGAGGGCTTTACATCTATCTGATACTGTTCACTCTGATAAGAGATATTAAGGAATATTTGAATGGACCTCAACATTGCAAGACACACTCGTATAAGAAAATCCACAGTGTTAACAATAATAACTCTTCCTGGGGTGTAAAATTAAATGTACATATTATCAGACAGATAGGAGACTGACTCATTGTCTTCCTGCTTGCACACCCCTATGTGTATCTGTTCCAGCTACCCTAAACTTAGGCAAGGTTCTGCCAGAGTGCTAGGCTCACCATGGTCCTCTTGAGAGACCTGGCCAACAGAACCAAGACATAGGAGGAAGCAATATTAAGTGTGTTCCCTTTATTCTGCACTGGAAGACCAAAGCAACTTGCTTGTGACCTCAAATCCTACTTTGAGACAGATCACAGTGAGATGACTAAGTTGTCATTTCCCTCTTCACCCTCAAAGACGGAGAAAGTTGCAGCCTGGTTTCAAGGACAGGGGTTGTTCATTAGACCACGACCCTACAAGAATTCTGTGCCTTGTGGCTCAACCTTAAGCTCTACCTGCTTGAGGTTCTTGGCCTGTAAAGGACCCTGGATGACAGGACCCTAGGACGAGTTGTCCACCTGGGACAACCATGGGTTATGGCCAGCCTTCTCAGCTACTTCACACCATTCTCTACTAAGTGGTGGAAGGCTTAGGGTGAGGATGAAACATGTCTCTTCACCTCTACTGGTTAATTAGATTTCTTTTCCTCCTGAAGATTTGTAAAGATTCTTGGAAGCAAGGGGAGGGAAGGTCTAACACTTTTATCTGGTTAACCAGTTCTGAAGGAGAGATTCATGTTGCAAGTTTACTTCTGTCTCACTGATAAAAAGGAAAGATTTTGAGAAAAAGAACTGCAGACAGGAAGGAAGGAAAGGACAAAATCATGTAACATTATTTCTCCACTTTTTCTTTTTTTTTTAACAGAAAGTCATCTAAATCAGGTGGCCAGGGAAGCCTTACACAGATCTTGTTTCTCAGAGTTCTCACCTCTTTTGGTATTCTAGAAGATCCAAAACAAGACCAACACTTCTGTTAGGATTCTGGATGCTACTTTACTTCAAGGAGCCCCTATGTTCCAAAGGAACCCTGAAAATCCTTCAGAAATACTGAATGTGACAGATGGAAACCTCTTCAGAGAACCAAGGCTTACTCAGACCCTCACACACCGAGAGTTCTTATACTGACTGCTGACACTTCTTTCATCTAAACCGCTTGTAAACCTTCATTAAGATGTGTTAGCTTATATTATTATAATAATGTATGGGGAATTTTTATTTTACAGATCGACTAATACTCAAGCAACTCTCTGCTGGGGTAGGATGTGAAGCTGCACTGCAAGTTATCCCAATATTCCCACATAGGAATTGTGTTCTGGAATATGGTGGATCTAAAATCACTATTTCATTGTATAGGTTCAATTACTCAGGACACTGGGATGCATCTAGGTAATCAACTAGCTGGCTGACCTGGAGCAACTCCTATCCTTAGTTTCCCTGTGTTAAAAGGGTATCTACCTTGCCATATGTCAGAAACTGAGACAACAAATTTTGGTACCCTTTGATAAATATCAGTATCAAACACTATGTAAAATCTTTTTTATGATGAAAGGAAACACTCTGTTTAGTATTAGAATGGCTGTTGTAACTGTAATAGCTAAAAGCAATATGAAATTCACACCAGGGAACAAGAAATCTAGAGAAACAATTATCTCTGTATCACACTTATTGCACAATAAATGCCATGCCCCTAATCACAAGTGCAAGAACTCCACACAGGAAGCAGTGAGAAGATACAGCAGAGAAGGGACAGAGGAAACCAGCCATCAGCCCTGTGTTGGTCCCCAGCATCACATGCACAGCCAGCTGGTGGATACGTCACCACCAGCTGAAATGTGGTGAACAAGGAAAGAGAAGCAGATAAGCAGCATATTTACATCTCAAATCCTGCAGCCACTTTGTACAGCGGACAACCCCCCCCCCCCATAATAACAGCACATGATGGTTTTCACAAGTAAAGGCCAGTTGGTGAATTATCAGAGCAGAGAAGGAAAGGGTGAACCTTGACCAAGGTGCACAACTTACCTGCCTGCATTCCCTGGCAGGTGGCAATAAATGCTGCCCCCATCCCACACTGTTCATACTTGCATAGAAGCAGAGAAGCAGCAGAAGACATTCCAGACACACAGGAACTAAGTCCCTATGAGCTGTGGGTACCTGGCAGGAAGCAGTGTTCCTGGCAGAGCGTTATAAAGAGGCTGCCAGTGATTGTGGGAGCCCCAGTCGTGGCTCAGAGTACTTGGTCCAGGTCCTCAGAGTGGGCTAAGGCAGGAGTACAATGGGGAGGATGAGGAAGGGGTTTGAAAGATACATACGAAAGGCAGAGGATCCTGCTAGGCTTCCAACCTTCCGCACGTCGTTATCTGAGGACAGAGGGATGCAGTGTGTTTCAGAGGCGATGCAGAACACACCCTTATTATAGGAATTCCCCCTCTTTCACCCCACCCCCAGCACCAATTAACCTTATAAAAAGCAGGCTATCAGATGGAAAGGTAGAAAATAAATGTGAAAAAGCAAAATAAATGTGTCCATTCGTACTGAAAAATACCACTAGGTATCCCCAATGCTTGATAATGATACAAGTCTATTGTGTACTTCCACAAACTCTGTGAATAAAATGTGATTCTAGACCTGTTTTCCACAGGAAGAAACTAAAGCCCAGGAAGTTAAATGGTTTGTCCAGGGTCCAAAAGAATTAACAGAAGGGTCAAGACTTGAACCCAGGGGCTTTTCCTATAGTACCCCATTGCTTCCTCATAAGCTATGGCTTGTAGTTGGAATACCTGAGCAAGCAGAGGTCATAATGGCTGGGACCCCGTAGTAGGTGAAGGCTCCATTCTCGAAGCGAAGGCCCTCCTTACCAACCTCCACCTCCACTTTACCCTGGAGAAAGAAGGCAATGTACCAAGGGTATGCATAAGCACTTCCAGTTCTGTTACTGACTAGAACCCTAATCATTCTGCCTGGATAACAAATGGACTTAAATTCTTATCATAGCAGAGTATTAATTCTGTCTAAATTTATGTTTCAGAAATAGCACTTCCAACCTCCATGGCTCCTTGCAGTAAATCATTTGCTTGTTCATGAGGCAGCATCCAGTTTTAAATAATAGACACTCTTCCTACACTCTCATAGTCTTTCCACAACAAGGGTCTGTACCACTTCTCCCAGGGCCTAAGATTAGGTCATCTCAGTCTGGTTGAAATAAAATCTAATTCTTTATGAAGCTTGTTTAATTCATCAACAATAATAAGGAAGCTAATGTGCATAGGATGTGTCTAGGAGCCTGATAACTGTGTTAAGGCACTGCAAAGATTCCTATTCAATCTGCCCCACAGCTCCATAAGCTTTGTACTGCTTCTATCCTTATTTTATTGATGAATCAACTTTGAGGCTCAGAGAGGTTAAATAATGTGATCAATGCTAGTTAAGAAACAGTAACAGGAATTTTCAAGCCAGACCTTTCCAATTTCTGAACCTATACTCCTGCCACTACATTTTACTCCCTTCAGGTTTTATCTGATAATGGCTAAGTTGATAGTAAGCATAAGATAGTATAGTGTATGTGCTCATACATAACATTAACAATGTAACAGGACTCTTTTGCACTTCCAGCAGTGAAGAATGTCACTCTATTTTTGGAGAAGAGAAGTCATTTTACTGAGGCTATTTGGAAGAATATGTGCAGAAGGGCAATCATAGTGTCAGAGAGCAGATAGGCTGGAGATGGACTGCAACAAAGAGATGCTATTTTGAAGTTAATGCACACTTAATTAAGATTTTAAACCAATCTGTATTTAGGGTTCCTAAGATTCTGTTGGGGGAAAGATAGGGAATGAGTGACAGAGCTGGTGATGGAGCCAGGACAGGGCCACCAGCAGTGTTACAGGCTGGAACCATGTCTGACATTTATGACAGGCTTATCCAAGAGTCCCTGGCTGGTGCAAATGGTTAAGCACTCAACTACCAGCCAAAAGGTTGGTGGTTTGAATCCACCCAGAGGTGCCTCACAAGACAGGCCGGGCAATGTGCTTCTGAAAGGTCACATAGCCTTGAAAACCCTATGGGGCCGTTCTCCTCTGCACACAAGGGGTGGCCATGAGTCAGAATGGACTCAACAGCAACAAACAACAACAACAACAATCCAAGCACTCAGGGCAGAAGGCGAGTGTACTTATGTAGGGACTGGGAAGATGCTGCCCTCTTCCACCCAGCCAGCCAAGTCCTGGACCTGGCGCTGTGGAGGCACGTCTCCACTCCTCCTCAGCCTGGAAAGGCCCTTATCTTGCCCTCAGAGGTTACCCTGACTGCTCTACTCCTACCTGTAGAAGTAACACAAAGTAGTCCACAGGGCGGTTGCGTTGGTAGAGGTAGTGTTCCGGGGCTTTCTTATTCTTCTCATCGAACTTCAGCTCCTGGATCACGTTGGGATGCTTCAGGAGCCGCAGCAGGATCTTCTCCGAAAGGTATAGAGACTTAAAGGGCTCCACTTCTAGGGGAGAGTGGAGGCAAGGAAGAAGTAGCACCTCCCAGTCCTGCCCACTCCAGTATGGCGGCTGGGAAGAGCCAAAGTGAGCACAGCCTAGGCACACAGAGAACCACCCCATCCGTGCTTCTGGGGCACCAAGTAGGCAGGGCTTCTGGGACCGCTCAGGGTGGGGGATCCGAAACACAAATGCGCTTCTGATGGCCTTCCCTGTGCCCTGTGGGGATAAGGTCCCTACACTGGTGACTCGGGAAACAGGCCATCATTTAGGAAATGTCAGCAGCAGCAGCAATTTTCTCCTTAATTTCAAAGTGGGCATGGATAACTTGGGAGCTCTGGTGGTGTAGTGCCTAAGGTATTTGATTGCTAACCAGGAGGGTGGTGGTTCAAACCCCAGCCACTCCTCAGAAGGAAAGTTGGGCAATCTACTTCCGTAGAGATACCACCTCAGAGACTCAAGGAAGTGTTGCTATGAGTCGGAACTGACTCGACGGCAGTGAGTTTGGTTTGATTTATGCATAACTTAGCAATATGAGCAATAAAAAGTTTAATACTATAATCAAATAAAATCTATAAAGGACTTAGTCTAACTTATTTATATGATATATGTCTGTTGAATGATATAAAATCCCAATAGAGACAGTGAATTATATAAGTGATACGTTGTCAAGAACATGAAGCATGGTTGTATATATTAACATATGCTATTATACTCGGATAACGTAGTGTCTAAGGCACTTGACTGCTAACCAGAAGGCTGGCAGTTCAAACCCACCAGCCATTCCTAGGAAGGAAGATGGGGCAGTCTACTTCCGTAGTGATACTGCCTCGGAAATCCAAGGAGGGGTCGCTACGAGTTAGGTCCGACTCGACGGCACATGACAACAACATTATATATTAAGGAGCTCTGGTGGCATGGTGCCTAAGGCATCTGACTGCTAACCAGAAGGCTGGTGGTTCAAACCCACCAGCCACTCCTTGGAAGGAAGATTGGGGGAATCTACTTCCGTAGTGATACCACCTCAGAAACCCGAGGAGGGGTTGCTATGAGTTGGAATCAACTCAACAGCAGTGAGTTTTTGGTTTATTATATATTGATGGATATTATAGGTAGAGCCAGTAGCTAAAAAAAAAAAAAATCAGTGTTCAGAACTGCATGTTGAGAACTCAACTTTAAAGAAGCTCCCGTTTAAGTTTTTCTACTTTTTAACACCTAGAACAGTGCTAGCATTGATTATATACTCAATGAATACATGATGGATTAATTAAATATTAAACACTAATACTAAATATTGAATCTTATATATGGAAGTTAACTATGGGGATGACCATCTAGGCCAGCACAGTACTTAGGCATAGAGATGAGAAGGTGAGAGGGTGCAGAGACAAATCTTTCCTCAGGTGTTTATCTTTGAATCCGCTCATATTTTTTGCTTTCTAAACATGCACAAACCATTTCTGTATTTTAGGAGCTTGTAGCTCATATATGGCCCCTAATGGGCAGTAGACCCCACGGCCTTGTTGAGTAGCAAAACATCTGTCTTTCCCCTGAATACTCCAGGGTACCCATCTCTCACAGGAAAGGGGTCAGCCTCATGCACCAGCCAGGAAGAGAGGTGAAGAAGGGAATTGGGCAACAGTGGCTTCTCTAGCTCTCCCCCATCTCCTCCTGAGTGGAAGAGAAAAAATAGAGTTGAGATGCTCTCTCTTCCTCCCTAGAAGTTGAGGCCTGGGAGGAAGCAAGTGTGTGGCTTCCTAGTGCCCTGCCTCTCCTAGAACAGTGGTTCTCAGTCCTGGACGCACATTGGAATTAGGTCAGAAGGTATTCACAATCATCGATGCCTGGGTCCCACCCCTAGTGATTCCGCTGTAAGTGATCTGGGGTAGAGGCCGGGCCTCTATCTTTTTAAAAAACTTCCCAAGTGATTCGAATGGGCATCCAGGGTTGAGACACTGTCCTGGAAGAACTGGAAATCAAAATGAGAGCTGCCCTCTGGCAGACTCAGGTGGGGAGAGTCATACCTGTGGCCATAAAGCGGTGTGTGGCCAGCAGGAGCTGTGGTGAGATTTTCACCCTCATCTCTGAGTCCGAAAGCTTGAACAAGGAGAAGTCGTGCCGCTTCCTCTCCCGGTGTGGGACCCTCTGCTTTTTCCGGTTGTCAGCTGCAGGATCACAAGAGACAGATGACAGCTATCTCAGAACCACTGGTGGTCTTCAGAGCTTTTCCCAGAGTCACTTTGGACAGAGCAATCTTTTGGAATCATATGAATTTCTGCAAAGTGTCAACTCTAGGTGTCTAGGTGACATCACATCATCTCTTTTTCAGGTACTGGAAGGGTGTTGACAAGGGATTGAAGGTGGGTGATCAACTATAATGGTCTGTGTTATTTACAATGAAGTAGATAGTGGAAAACAGAGAAAGCTGGCTTGGAGCACCCCAAAACAGGGTTTAGACTGGCTCCCCAACATACTAGTTGTGGGACCTCTCTAAGCATCAGAGATTTTGTTTGTTTTAATGTATGTGAGGTTAAAAAAAACCAAAAGTGAACCCATTGCCACTGAGTCAATTCTAACTCATGGTGACCCTCTAGGGCATCATGAAACTGCCCCATAGATATTTCCAAAGCTGTAAATCTTTACGGAAGCAGATAGCCTCATCTTTCTCCCATGGAGTGGCTAAACCAAAAAAAACCAAACTCACTGCTGTCGAATCGGATCCAACTCATAGTGACCCCTCCTTGGGTTTCTGAGGTGGTATCACTATGGAAGTAGATTGCCCAACCTTCCTTCCGAGGAGTGGCTGGTGGGTTTGAACCACAAGCCTTCTGGTTAGCAGTCAGATGCCTTAGGCACTACGCCACTAGTGGGTCCAAACTGCCAACCTTTTGGTTAGCAGCCAAATGCCTTGACCACTATGCCACCAGAGCTCCATGTGAGGTTAGTAATATTTAAAAATAACTCTTCTACTCATTGCATGTAGAAACTATCTGTGAAAGTGCTTTGACTACTCAGAGAGAGTGAGTAGTTGGACCTGTGGGCTCAGGACCATGGTTGCAGGGGACATCATGCTCAACTGGCATAACATACTACACAAAAACATTGCTCCATACCCTACTTTGGCAAGTAGCGACTGGGATCTTAAAAGCTTGCAAGCAGCCATCTAGATGCAATGATGGGTCTCTCTCCATCCAGAGCAAAGAAGAATGAAGAAAACCAAAGATGCATGGAAACAATTAGTCCAAGGGACTGGTACACCATGCTATCCTCAGCCTATATGACTATGAGACCAGAAGAACTACAGCTACCATTGTCAACTACTCAGAGGGAGATCTACGTAGGAGATCTTAGATAGAGTGGGAGAACAATGTGGAACAAAACTCAAAAATCATTAAAAAAAAAAAAAAAAGGGACCAGGTTTGCTGGTCTGATAGAATCTGGTGCAAACCCTGGGACTATGGCCCCTAGCTGCCCTTCAGGTCTGGAATTGAACCCACTCATGTGACTTCAAGCCAAACAAAAGACATGTGTATGAGCTGAACATTAGGTAGATATACATCTTGGAGAGATCAATTGTGGGAGAATAGAAGGGCTGTGTATGCACAGGGAGGCAGCTGAGGGGGCAGGAGTGCATGGGAGAGAAGGACACAGGGAAGAGGTAACTATGGGGAGGAAGTGGGAAGAGAGCTGTTGCATTGTGGGAAATTGCACTCAATGTCATGAGACAAAGTGTATGTGAAGTGCTGTATGGAAAATGAATTTGCTCTGTAAACTTTCACCCAATCACAATAAAACTTAAAAAAGAAAAAGAAAGTGCTTTAAAAAGTGATACAAACGTAAGGACTTTGCATTCTTAGTGTTAAAGGGTTTAGCGGGGCCAAGGAGTATCCACCCCTGTGTCACTCCTTTCCCCAGAGCTAGGATCACCTGGTCTCTTCTTGCCGACTTAAATCATGCTCTGAGCTGTACCTTAAAAGATGCCACCCAGGAAGGTGGATGGTCACCTCCTCTTAGCACCCACAGTTCTCTTGCTTCAACTCGTCCCTCTACTAGGAGACAACAGGGGAAATAAAGAGAGGAGGAATGGGAAGAAACAGAAGTGGTTTTATAATCTACAAATGTGAGGGTTCTCTGAGTGGGGGCCTCAAGCAGGGCTTGCAACCTCAGAAAACCTATGTATTGAGGAAGTGATTATTGAGTGAGAAATTTTTTTTTTCCAATTTAATTTTGTTTCTTGTGCCAAACTTGGCCCCGAGAAAAACAGGATAGTGGGAAACTTCCAGTGCAGGCTGAATAGACACAATGGAAATTAAAGGGAATAAACCCAGGGACAGGAAACAGGGTCCTAGAATCTGGTTCCCTTGCTCCTCTCTGCCTCCTCTGGAGCCCTCTTCTGCCGGGACCCTCTTTGTTTCTGTGGAGAGGGAAGTGCCCTTTCCTTCGTGGCCCTTCTGTGGGCCTGTCTTTGACCGGGGGCCCTTCTCGGGCATCTGGTCCTTGCTGTAACAACACTCCTTTTCCTCAGGTCACGGGCCTCACAGCAAAACAAGCGAGACTCAGACACAGGCATCCTGAGGTCAGGCTCATGAAGGAAGAATCCAGAACCCTTGGCTCCTCCGCTTCTCACTGCTTATAAAGAATCATGCCAGAAGGTTATCTGTAGTTGTTGTTGTTACGTGCCATCGAGTCAGCCCGACTCATAGCGACCCCTCCTCGGGTTTCCGAGGCAGTATCACTACGGAAGTAGATTGCCCAACCCTCCTTCAGAGGAGTGGCTGGTGGGTTTGAACCGCCAGCCTTCTGGTGAGCAGTCAAGTGCCTTAAGCACTATGCTACCAGAGCTCCCAGAAGGTTATTTAAAAGGGTAGAAAGCAACCCTAATTCTCTCCTGTTTAAAGAAGATAACTCAGCAAGAGGGTAGCAAATACAGGACCTGGTTCTTTTCCTTGGGAACAGCCTTCTGATTTGGATAATGTGTTTGCCTAAATATTCCTTGTCCCTCCCCTGTCAGAACGCTACTTAAAATTTCATCATTAGAGAATCATTCCTCTGGTCCCCCCTTCATTCTTTTGATTTTAATAGTGAGTGTTGGGAGCATTAACATTGTTAAAACAAATGCCCTGAGTGGACTTTGACTACTAGCTGCCACTGACCTTAGTATGTATTTCATCTCCAATATATCTACTGGGACACTTAGCTTAGATGGGAATTCTAAATAGGGAGTAGTAGGCAGAAGTGGAAAAGGAAGAATGGAATGAGGAGGGAGGAGAAATTTCTGGGCTCAGTCCAGGTTTGAAGAAGACAGGCTTAGCGGGGGGAACATTACTAGGTACCGGGAGGGAGGCTCTGTGGCACTCCCACCACTTTTTTGCGAAGGCCTGGCCCACCTTTTACCTTTGATCTCTTCTTAGTCCTGAGGGAAGGCACTATTTCTGCACAGCTCACTGGCTTACGGTATCAAAGCTTTTTCTACCAGGAGCCAGGTTCTGAAAGACTGCTTCTAGCAAATTGAGAGTCTAAAATGAGTTATAGGAGGGGAGGAAAAGGCATCAATGCCCCATTAGATGAGATTCTGAGGAGGAGACACTTCTTGGCCTAGAAACGCCCATGGATTTAGATAACATTACCATCCCAGAGACAAAGCATGCTTTTGTGATGTTTGCAAGCAGTTTTCCTAAGTCATTATCAGCAAAGAGGAGTCCACATTGTTCCTGAGCAGGGGTAGGTAGGAGGGTGAGGAGGACAGGAAGAAAGGCGCAGGGACATGAGAAGGCCATGCAGGCAGGTGCTTAAAGGGACACAGGACATAGGTCGTAGTGTGAATGAGCTCCATGACAGTCTCCATTGCTCATTGATGATTTGGTTTCAGTGGATTGGCAGTGGAACCCCAGGTGGTGCTGGGATCTCTGGGTGGACACAGAGACAAAGCAAGAATAACACAAGGGGACAGACACAAGAGCAGAGAGGGCTCTGGTCACCATCTGGGGTGCACTTAGTTTCCTTTAGTCCTTTTTCTATCAATGGCCAAACCAAAAATAAAACAAACCCACTGCTGTTGAGTCAATTCTCACTCATGGTGACCTCACAGGTCACAGAGTAGACTGTGCTCCAGGGGGTTGGAAATCGCTGTGATCTGTATGGAAGCCCATCAGCAGGCCTTTTTTCCGTGGTACAGCTGGGAGGGTGGGTTCAAACTGCCAACCTGTAGGTCAGCAGTCAAGAGCAAACCATTTGTGCCACCCAAAAACCAAAACCAAACTCACTGCTGTCCAGTTGGATCTGACTCATAGCGACCCCTCGTTGGGCTTCTGAGGCAGTATCATTATGGAAGTAGATTGCCCAACCTTCCTTCCAAGGAGTAGCTGGTGGATTTGAACCACCAGCCTTCTGGTTAGCAGTCATGTGCCTTAGACACTATGCTACCAGAGCTCCTGGACCTATTATTTAATAGCCAGGAGGTACCCTTTTCATAATCTGGGCTCAGTTCCTGAAGTTTCTTCCTGATCAACACTTAGTAAGCATCTTCTGAGGGATTCAGGGTGACTCAAGTCAGAGTATCTTGAAGTGCCAGCAGCTGTCATTAGGCGACTGATACACAGCAGTGCATGGGGCTTGCCTGATACTCTTTCATGCTGTATATCAAATGAAGCGTCTCTGAAAGTCTCAGAGGAAACCAAGGTAACTCTGGGACAGCTGCAAAGGCTGAGCACTTACTGTACAGGTCAGTTTCATCCAGGATTTCCGATTTGATGATCTCCTCTATGATGTCCTCTAGCGTGACAATGCCCATCACCTCATAGAAGGGGTCTCCTTCTCCCTCGTTATTCACTCGCTGAACAATGGCCAGATGGGACTTTCCTAGAGGGCAAATGAAGTCACAGTTACACACCTGGGACATTTTCAGAGATCTTTCCTTGTGAGAAAATTATACAGAGTTGTCCAGTATCAGGACTGAACTCATCACAGGACCTCTTCAAAATAGAAACTTTTGTGCAAGCTCGTTTAGATGCAAACATCTTTTACATCTTACATCTCTGTCTCTTTTTAGGAAAGTTACTGAATCTATCCAAAGTCAGTTAAGTTCTTTTTCTTGAACTTTCACATAAGAGCAAGTATATCTTAGCTTCAGGAGGCTGAAGAATCTAAGAGAAAAAGCAAGACTTTGAAGTCAGAAGAATTAGGTTAGAAGCTATTCTCTTCCACCCTCCCCCCATACACATACCTATACATATCACCTCAGTTCTATCTGTGCAACTGACCTTGAGCAAATCATTTAACCTGGATTGAATTTCAGTTTTCTCACCTAGAATTAGGGATAATACCAGTGTGGTGATTTTAAAACATGGCCCCAAAACTCTTTGATACTCCTTGCCTCAAGAGGTATGGTCTATATTCCCTTCCTTTGACTCTAGGCAGATTTGTGACTACTTCAGTCAGTAGAAAATGGGGGATGTGTCTGTTAGGAGAATTCTGAGGCTGAGTCATAAAAGTCATACAGCTTTTGCTGCAGAAATGTTGTCAGAAGTCCAATAACTAAGCCTACTGTAGTAGAGGAGCCACATATAGGCGCTTAGGCAACAGACTCAGCTGAGCCCAGCTTTCCATCCCAGCAAAGTGACAGGTTAGCTAAGTAGCCATCTTGGATGTGAATCCACCAAACCCAGCTGATCCAGCCTCTTTCAAGCCTCTCCAGCTGTTCAAGTCATCTCCAGCTGCAGGACTCAGCCACCATGATGCAGAGAGAAGCCATTCCCACTGTTCCTTGCCCAAACTCCTGACTCACAGTCTGTTCTATGTTTTGGGATGGTTTGTTAGCAGCAATGTAACTAGAACCACCAGTACTCATAGGTGATTGTGAAACTCAATCTAGTGTATGTGTGAAAACCTTTGTGACTATAAAGAGCTGTAGGCAGTTATTTTATTTTTATTCTTACAATTATGTTTTTTACTGTTATTAATTTCTATATATTTATTACTTAATAATAATAGCTAACCCTTATTAAGCTCTTATTAGGTACCAGGTACTATTCTGAGTATTTAATGTGCATTCATTTATTTCATCCTTATGACAACCCTGGAGGCAAAAATAAAACCAAAAAAACCCAAACTCACTGCCGTGGAGTTGGATCCAACTCATAGCCACCCCTCCTTGGGTTTCTGAGGCGGTATCACTATGGAAGTAGATTGCCCAACCTTCCTTCCAAGGAGTGGCTGGTGGGTTTGAACCACCAGACTTCTGGTTAGCAGTCAAATGTCTTAGGCACTATGCGACCAGACTTCATTTAACTGATGAAAGAACAGAGGAAAATGTTTGGCTAAGTGATTTGCCTAAAGTTATACAGCCTGTAAGTGGTAGAGGTGGACTATAAACCCAGGTAACTGGGTTCAGTCCTAACCTCAGGTCCAGTGTTAGATTATCCAGTGAGCAAGGTAAGCACAGGCTTACTTATGCTTACTTACTAAACTGCAGTGAACAATTTCTTTTTCTTTTTTTCACCATATCAAAGATTCTGCTTCTCGATATGGCTGGCATCTGTCTCTCTCCCAACCCCATAGCACCACCCTACACAATCAAAGCCTCTTTTCAAATTGTAATTCTAACAGAGATGGAAGACCCAGTAGGCAAGGTAAGCATGGGCTTACACAAGGTAAGCATGGGCTTACCTTGTTTACTGGATAATCTACCTAGTAATCTGCCCTTACTCAGACCTAAAGTCTCACCTTGGTTTGTTTTCTCTTGCTGTATAGACATATTTCCTGGTCCTGTTTCAAAAATGCATATCTGGGTGGCTCCTTTTCCTGGCTAAGAGGACTTTACGGAGAAAACATAGGGTATTGACTCAAATGTTACTGTTTGCAAAAAAAAAAAAGAGAAGCTCATGCTTCCTCAGTGCTACCTTATACAAGCTCTTGCTTAGTTATTGTTAAAAATATACACAGGAAGACAGGTCAGTCTGCCAGGACGTCATGACTCATTCAGATTTAAACACATGAGCTTCTCTATCAAATATCTTAAATTACAAGATAGCTAAGCTACTCCTTGAAATTGTTAACTGAAAAGAAAAGACGACATTCGTATTACCCAAGAATGGTCTTTAATTTATTCTCCACCTTCAACCTTTAACCCATCCCCCACACACTGATCATGCTGCTGCCCTGCTCAAAAACCCTCCATGGCTCCCTAGTGCTCACAGAATCAAGTCCAGACTCCTTAGTTTGGTATTATCAGCATTGCACAATGTGGTTCTTTGCTATCTTTCTAGCTGTATGCTATGCTACATCCCCTAATTGTTCCATATTCTAGGAAAGTCAGGCTACTTTCATTTCTTCAGCTTCCTCCATTTCCACTTTCTAGGTCTGTACCCACACTGTTTCCTTCTCCCATCCTATCTCCACTGGTCCTTCAAGCTCCAGCTCTGGTGCCAGCTCCTCCAGAAAATCTTACGCATCTGTCCCATTCAAGATCTCAATCAACCTTTCCTTTTCTGCTCCTAAGTACTCGATAACTCCATTATAGCATTTAGCACAACTTCTTGCTTCTTGTAACTAGCAGTGTGTGTCCTCTACTAGACAATGTTTCTTCCCCAGATCATGAGCTCCTTCAGAACAAAGGCTCATAATCTTATCAGGGTTCAACCCAGCCAATAAATTCCTGATGAACTAAACTAAGCTGAAGATGGAATAAAATCCATAGCTGCTACAATAAATTGTATTAAAACCAGACAGTAAAATCATTATATTTTGATAGAACACAATTTGTGTTTAAATTAAAAATTCTCTATCAGTAGTTCTAAAATTATCCTTCTTTGAAACAACTGCAGCCTACCCAACCAACGGAAGTGGTTTGCAGTCTTAATTAGATTATGTTAATTATTAGAATGTGCTCAGTTAAACATTTTTTTTTTTCTCCAACACATTTTTCTTAAACTTAGGGTATCTGTTCTCACTTTTCTGCTAACATGTGTTGGCAGGTGACAAAACAAATAATCAGTTTAATGGAGAAACTTGGAAAGGTGATTTCTTAAAACTGTTTTCTGTAATTTTACATATATATATGCGGTGTAGTAAATTACTTAGTGTGGCTTTTCTATCCATAAGTCTTTGTCAACTCCAAGGTGGGATTTTGTATGAGCAACTGAGCAGCCCCTGATTGCTGAAGCTATCCACCTGGGTTATTTCTGTTGGG